AAAAAAAAAAGGAAGAGGGGTTGGGGATTTAACTCAGTGGTAGAGCGCTTGCCTAGCAAGCTCAAGGCCCTGGGTTCAGTCCTCAGCTCAAAAAATAAATAGATAGATAGATAGATAGATAGATAGATAGATAGATAGATAGATAAAAATTAAGAAAGGAAGGGAGGGAGGGAAGAAATGGAGAGATGCCTTAGAGGTTAAGAGCACTGACTGTTCTTTCAGGGAGACGACCCAGGTTCGATCCCCACATGTCACACAGACATACATGCAGGTAAAAATACCCACAGACATTAAAAAAGGAACCATTAATGTATAACAGTGTTTGAAATGCACCCACTTTTCTAATGATGAAAAACTTACCGATTCACCCCCCTCTCCCCCACGTCCCCCACGTGCACAGCTGTACACGTGTGCACATGAGCGTGAGTTAATATAAGGAATCCAAGTAGCCTGAAGGAACCACACAGAAGGTTGACCCTTCTTTGAAAATACTGTCTTCAGCAAGTGTCCGCCAATAAATGACAGCAGGAAAGCATAATCTTTCCTTCCTGTTGACTGCCTTGCAGTTGAAGACTGTTACATAGAGAAACCTTGTCTCAAGAAACACACATGCACACGCACACACACACACACACACACACACACACACACACACACACACACACACACACACACACACACACACACACACGCACACAGTCAGAATGCAGACTCAGCATTGGACGATTCAGCATTATTCCTCCAGAAAGATCTTCAGCACAGCAGGTAAAACCTCTCCAACTAAAGACAAGTGTGGTGACACACACCTGAAACCCCAGAACTCGGAGGGGAGTTGGGGGGGGGGCGCTGAGGCAGGAGGATGGGGAAATTTGAGACCAGGTCAGGGCCCTCTCAAAGAAACCAACAGCAAAGAATGAATGGCTCCTGATTTCCTGACACCAAAAACTCCACCAAGGAATGTAATCGCTTCAGGTGTACAGTAAGAAGAGATGGACATTTAAAGTTGTTAAAGTAACAAACACTGACACTCAGAGAGCTGAGGCAGGAGGATGGCAAAACCCTGTTTAAAAACTCTAAAGTGCAAAACACTCACATGAAGAACAGGGTGACCAGGGGTTAGCGTCTTCAGAAAACACCAGTATCCCCTCCCTTAGCACAGGCGCTAAAGAAACTCCCTTTTCTTCCAGTAACTGTGTTTGTTTGCTTGCTTAGAGACAGGGTCTCCCTGTGTAGCCCTGGCTAGCCTGAAACTCTCTACGTAGACCAGGCTGGCCTCGAACTCACAGAGATCCGCCTGCCTCCAGAGTTCTGGGATCAAAGGTGTGCGCCACCTCTCCCAGTGTAACTGTGCTCTTTAAAGCATACGGTACACACACACACACACACACACACACACACACACACCCCGCTTACCACCCGCTGCATTCCAAGAACACCAAAGCTCAGATTTGCCCTCACTGCTGCATTCCCCGGAGGTCCGGTCAAATAAGCATCCTGTCCTGACTGTTGTCTGGGGCTGCCCTCCTCTGTGTGGGGAAAGAAGGGTTCAAGCCCCCTGTCCCTCGTCCAGGAGGCCTCCAACAAGTGTGCGCTGCCTGGCTGTCCAACGGGTTAGGGGAACCTCGGCCGGGTTCGAGCAGGCCTCAAGGGTATGCTTGAGGGAGTTCCCACACCTAGCCTTCCTGGGCATTTAGCAGCTTGAGGAAGACAATGGGAGAGAGTCCTGGGATTTCCCAGGGCCCACACCACTTCCACAGGCAGCTGCTTTCTTTGTCCAAGTGCCGGAGAATTCCACGGCCCTCAGCATTCCTCAAGTGACTGGAATTGGCCTGGATAGTCAGTTCGGAAAGAATGCCACAAGTGAGGCTGGCCGTGAGTCACTTGAGTTCCAAGGGACTAGGCAGGCGCTCTGAGGAAGAAACCCAAGCGAGTTTGGGTGGGCAGGTCTTCAGACCAACACCTCGCCTCTCACAGGCCAGAACATGGTTGCTTTACAAGGTCAGTCTCAAGCTTTCTGAGTTATACCACACAATGTCACTGGCTTACCTTGGGCCTGGAGAAATTCAGAGCATCAACTGCTATTGAAGAGAACCAGAGTTCAGATCCCAACCCACACATCAGGCACCCACCAGCTGCCTCTGACTCCGGCTCCGGGGTGGCTGTGTAGACATGTGCTGTCTTCTCCGACAGAACGCTGCACTTGGTTCGGGCCGTGCTGTGTTCTCAAGTTCCACAGTATTCTCAAACTACTTCCTGTCCGTTGCCTGTTGAGCCCTGCTGATGCCCCCACCGGCTAGTGACAGCAGCAGCCCGGATTGCTGTGCCCAGCACATCCCAGGATGCCTCTTATGCTTCCTGCCTGGGCGTTCAAACTCCTCCCTCTTACAGGAGTGTTTACATGTTTTTCCCAGGCCGTCCACTCTTTGCTACATGGAGTTGGTCTCTCATTTGCCTCACACTAAACTCCCTCGAGGCAGGGGCCTGGGACGGGTGGAACCTGGGCCAGGGCTCCACAGCACTAAAACAGTATCTCAGCCCCAACACTGACAGCAGTGGGAAGAGATCTTTTGACTACCACCACTTTGTTTCCCGGAAGAAGAATCAGCAACAGAGCTGAGGACTGAACTGTGTATTTCCATCTTTGTGTTTGTTTTTGACATGTTTTTTTAAAAAAAATACCCATCGGCACATACAATTTTAACCTGTTAAACACAATCAGGACTGGGGCTATAGCTCCGAGGTAAGGTGCTCACCTGACATGCTACTTACACCCCTGGGTTTGACCTCAACGCAGCAAACAAACAATGGCCGCACTCTTAGCTACATCCTGGTCCCCTGGAGAGAGTGACAGCTGGGGGGACAGGAGAAGACCTGTAAGGGACCAGAACTCAGAGTGCCCCTTTGCTGTGAGCTTGGTTCTGCTGTTTTCTTTCTCTTCTTGTCTGTTTCTAACATGTGATAACTGTATTTATTTAATTATTCATTCATTCATTCATTTTTACTTGTTTGTTTGGTTAGTTGGTTGGTTTTTCCAGACAGGGTTTCTCTGTGTAGCTTTGGAGCCTGTCCTGGATCTTGTTCTGTAGACCAGGCTGGCCTCGAACTCACAGAGATCCGCCTGCCTCTGCCTCCCCGAGTGCTAGGATTAAAAGGCGTGCGCCACCGGGTCCGGTGTGATATCTTGGCACAGGCACAGAGCGAGGGTTGCTGGAGGAGCGGAGCAGGCAGTATTCGGGAGCAAGGTCAGGGTTAGACTCGCCTCTTCATTACTTTCTCCGCTTATCATGTTTAAACATTTACTCGTGGATCAAGCGGCTCCTGCGCGCCAGGTGGCAGACTGGGTGCAGAATGGTTAGCGGACGCAAACCAAAGGCCACAGTCACGGGCCGTGGGTCAGAGTGCCGGGCACCGAGGAAAAGATTGTCCCCAGAGCCTGCCTCTGGGAAAAAGGAGGAGGGGTGGGAGGACGGTTCTCTTCAGGGACTGAGGGAGGGAAGGGTAAGACGTGGCCCCCACGCACCCCGCCCCCCCGACTTCCCGGTGGCTGCGGGGAGCTGAGCAGCAGGTCTGTGCAAGCGGGGGCCTGGGAGCTGTGCTAAGGAGTCCGAACTCGTAGGAGGGTACAGGGAGCCATGCTGAGATCCTTGAAGAAAGGAGAGCATGCTCCATAGTCACCGCCCCCTGGATATGGAAAATCACTTGGCGTTTTCTAAGACCGAGGCCCTGGGATATTAATCAGGCAATTAGAAATCCATGGAGTAGATGACAGAGGAGATGGGGAGCCTAGCGTGGAGAGGAGTGACGGACAGTGAAGGGGGAGAAGCCGCAGACTGAATCTACTGCCTGGAGGGAGGTGGGAGGGGACGATCAGTAAGGACAACTGATCAGAAAGGTCAAAGAGAGCCTGATGCCCCGCCGAGGTCTAGAGAATGGCCTCCCTAGACTCTTACATTGGATGCTTAGTCCGAGGTTGGAGGGCTGAGTTTAGGAAGGATTAGGAGGTGTGTAGGTGAGGGTGGGCTCTGAGGTGCCCGAAGCCGGTGCCACCCCCGGCTTGCAGATCAGAGGTAAGCTCTCGGCCCCCGCTCCGCGCCCCGTAGGTCCCACCGCGGTGATGGGGACCCGTCCTCCGAGACCGTTAGCAAGCCCCCCAGGTAGGTGTATTCGGTAAGCCGCCTTGCTCACAGTGTCTCCTCACAGCGATGCAGCACTAACGAAGAAGGCATGCCCTCAGGCCCTCAGGGCAACAGGTCCAGGTCCTGGGGGCCCCACAGGGAGAGGGAGGGAGGGAGGGAGGCGTTCTGGGGTGCTACCACTCAGCCGGACTGTCAGCTTCACCACGGCGGCAGCTTCACCAGGATCACTGGTAAAGAACACCCTGTGCCCTCGTCTCCCAGGGGAACCCTGACCCTTGAAGGAAACCACTGCAGTCTTTGCCCTACTTATTAATATTCTGACCCGACCTGCGACCTGACGGAAAAGCCTCATTTTAAGGAAAAACCTTCCCCTTCCTCTCTTCCGCTTTTCTCCCTTCCCCACTGTGAGGTGCGCACACCTTTTCTTCTCTCTCTCTCTCTCTCTCTCTCTCTCTCTCTCTCTCTCTCTCTCTCTCTCT